TTATGATGATTATAATATTAGAACTCATTGGTTATGTTCACAAAACTAAATATAATAAGTATTCATGAATCTACTGAAGTGATTTTTACATAATAACCAAATTTTTACATCATCGTCATCATTATTTCAGTTATAGGACGTCTACCGCTGAACATAGGCCTCCCCCAATGATTTCCATAATGTCCGATTGGTAGCGGCCTGTGTTACCAAAACATAATTAAAGACGCTGACAAAAGTGAATAAGTTTCTGTATTCAGAATGAAGCCAATGCATTAATGCTCAACATTGGCCCAAAGGAGGGATGAGTGTACTGTTTTATGTTACAGTTACTTTTAAAACGTTACCTACGGCCAAATTACAAAATAACAATACTACACAAATTACCTTGAACAAGTCGCCTTGCGAGTCACTTCTGGATCAGTGCGAGGGGTGTGCGCGCCGCAAGCAACCAACCACTGCAGGCAACGACGCTCCGCTCATACCAACCTGGAACTGAAAGTTACAGAGCTGAGTAAATTCGGTCTTTACCCTATCTGTTTAGATACAATTAAACATGAAGGTCAAGCCAATTCACATATTATTTTACTTTGTTTTTACATCTTTCTCAGAACCAGAAGGCGCTAAGTATTTTTTGTATATTTACACAGAAACATAACTAAGTATTTACTCGTACCGTCATAAATTTAAACAGCACCGAACTGCGTAGGAGGCAGGAAGCACCAACACCGCGGCCGCTCGCTCGGCGACAGCGGCGCGGCGGGTGACGCGTCGGTTGGCAAACCTGAAATTGAAAAGTTAAAGCATTTAGAAACTTACATTTTAACAGCACTATTTTATCAAATTTAAAACGTGAAAGTTATAAAGCTGATAATATAAATTAAACGCGATCAGGTTCAAATAAAATATAAGATACACTACCTCTTTTATTCGCCTGACGTTTCAGCCGGGCTGCACCGGCCGTGGTCACGTGCTGACTGGAGCGTCGCATAGGCGATCCGTGTGTCGGGTACAAATAATTCTACCCTCATTATTTATTTTTTTAGCTCTTGAATAAAAGTGACGGACTGTAGAAAGAACTTGCGTTAGGTTCATTGCAGTTCGAGTGTATACACGAAATGTATCTTAGAAATTTTCCTACATTATTTTGTACATTTTAAATCTGAAAATAAATATAATGTTATACTCTGTATGAGACTGTATCTCTAAGTTTCCATCTTCCGAAAATAATGAATCGATTATGATTTAAGAATTTTCTTTGAATGATTTCAAAAAGTATATTCAATTTGAAGACCCTTAGCCCTTTTCTTGATGAGAAGAGACTTCTTAAGTTCTGATCTGAATTTACCTGTAATATCGTTAAGTTTTAAAAAACATACTATCAAACTACTCTCTATTTATTTATAAAATTGATTAGGTATGTAGTTCTTCTGTCAAAGTTAATTTACTGATTTCTCACTATTTGATTTTGATCAGTTTGATGTGTTCTTGCAATAAGCTGACGAAAATGTGTTCATAAGAAGGTGACAATCATCAAACCACAACCGCGGCGGGCGGTGGCACAGCTCAGCCCTAAACACCATCTCTGAGACAAATAAAACAAGAGCATATTGTCCAACTGTTTATTATTATTTTCATTTCTCACTTAACTTCGTAATTTTACGCCGCCCGCGGGGACACACGCGGGGGCGGAATCCAAATTCGTGATTTAAAACTCGCTCCCACGCATCCACTGCACGACTCATAAATATAACAAATACAATTACATAATAATAATGTACACAAACAATAACATAATATTTTACAATCGGAAGGCGCGCTCCTTCCGCAGCACAACAACTAAACAAACGCTGACACGAGGCCGAGTCTAAGTTTGAACGGAACGCTCATTCGCAATCTCGGGACACCTTGTATGCGGCAAGTTAAGCGGTGGTTCACGGGGCTCGTATTATGCTGATTTGTCTCTCGAAACACATATTCACAGAAATTATGACATTAAACTGACGACATAATTCTTACAAATATAACAATCGCTCCCGACGCTAGGCGCCCTCGTCTCCTTACGAAAATATACACGCCTCGAGCGCGGCCGCCGGGGCGCGCTAGTCTCACTGGGCCGGGCGCCGCCGCGTGTCCACGTTCACGGTAGCTACACTACAACACGAGTCTTTTTCGTCGCATCACCGGTGAAAGCGAGTCGTTCCGTACGATAGATCGTTCAAGGGGCGCGAGTTTCTCGAGAGGTGCCAGCGAAAAAGACTCGAAACTCTAAAAGCGATTGTTCGATAGCGCCGGCGCAGCGCGGGGCCGACCGGACTAATTTAAATAATCTCAATTTTGTGCCGCGACAGACCACTCACTCACAATTCTTCGTTTCACAATATGATTTCAAAAATACTGATTCCCGGCCGCGCCCCGCGCGTCCCGGGGCGCACGAGGCGGCTCGCCGCGCGCTCACTGGGACTCACAGTGCATACTTTGTTCCGTATCTGTGCACTTCAAAGATAAAAACGTATCCGGTACGTTCTATTTCATTTCAATAAGTTATAAATATTCAACTCTAAAATCGTGACTTCGCACACTTTTATAAGATACTACTGTGGTAACTATCGCGCGGTCGGCGGTCGGCGGCACACACGCCGCGGCGCCCGCGCCGGCGTCCGCATCCAAAAACATTCGAAAATATATCAATAAAATATAACAACGACGAATAAAAATATCACAAGCGGACGCGCGCCACCCGGCGGCGGGTCGCCTCGCCGGCGCATCGTTAAGGTAAAAATAAGGAACTCTTTTTTATAAAATAAGGCTTAATTTAGAATAACAATAAGGGATAAGAAACTCAGGAGGATCCGCCGGCGACGGGCGACCGACTCCAAAAATGTGAATGCAGTTTTAGACGTTTGTATTGTAGCTGTGTCCTAAAACTGATAGACATTGCTGGGCCGCGCGGGGGCAGGCGCGGGTCTCGCGACATCGACACACAAACACTCACTCACTCTACGGTACTTAATTGATCGTTTTAAATTATCAACATCATTGTAGGAAACTCCGATGCAAAAATGCAGTAACGTCGTCTTAAATAATTGACAATGAGAGGAGCGGAGGCTGCGGTTGAACTGAAGTGAACATGATTTACGATGCGGTTAAAAACGAACAAAATGTGCAAGCATTACGTTTCATCACTATACTTTTTGAAAGTAAAGTATTTTATTTATCTCACACGTTGCGTGCGCATTTAAATTTCATATTTTACTTTTTAATTGCTATGCAAACTTATTTCGTTATAACATTACAAGCGAATATATTCTGAAAACAAATATTTAACCTACGTAACTTGTCTTTTTATTACTTTAAAGTAGATGATGGTTCAAGACTATAATAAGTAGGTAGTATCTGCAGTTTCAGATTTGTTACTTTTGCTACAATTTTATTTCGACAAAAGTTTCAAATGAAATAAATATGTAATATATGTATACTTCGCGAGACAGCGAAGGGTCACGTTAATATTTGTTTCCAGAACATGAACATAGGTTTACAAACGTAACTTATCGACTGGATATTTATTTACAATAAGTCGATCTCGTCAATCGATCAAATATTTCTTAGACCTTCATTGGAAACGTTCCGGTAGATCGAACGGTTGAGGGTTTTTATTTGATACCATTTTGATTGAAACTAGAATAAATTTTGATAGTTCGATACCATGAATATTTCCAAAGTAGGTACAAATTTTATTACAACGTTGAGTACATCACATCGAATACTTGTCGTATTTCACGATTGCGTTATCAAATATAACTGTTTTTGGTCTCCTGTGTATCCCGGGGTCGATTCTGAACGGTCGTAATGTATATCGATAAACTGTTTTTTTTTTCTGTTAATTTTCGTTCAATTTCATTCGAGGTGAAATTTTGCCGACACGAAGTCGAGGCGACCAGTAACAGTGCACCGCCCGCGTCAAAGAGCGACCGTCAACGGTCGTCGACAACGGGGTCGGAGCGATGCTTCAAAAAGTCGACGGGTCGCACCCGGCAGAACGTCAACGTTTCGAAGATACAGTACCTCTAGCATGAACAACTTTCGTCTTCGAATCGTTTGCGTACTCGATAAAATTCGATACTTAATCTTTGAATTAAATATTATTATTATTTTGAATTAAATATTAATTTATTCTTATTAGTAGTCTTAGGTATGACATTCTATTTTGGACTTAATTATTTTATGTATTTTATTTTAATGTTATTTGACTATTATTTAATTTATCGTTTTAATTATTTGACAATTTCACATATTGAAATTGCTATTATAAATTATCTGTATTGTATAACTTGTTGGCGCGTTGGACTTTCTGTAAGCCTTCAAGCAGATTATAAATAAATAAATAAATGATAACGGGACAACTCTACTCAAAATAAGTTTCGTGCAACCACATCTCATACAAAGTTCACTTTACGACGCGTTCACAAGGGCGCTGTTGTAGTTTTCTTACTAAATCTATTGATGGCGATTCGAGTACGTAAACGATTTGAACTCGAAAGTTTTTCGTGCTAGCCGTACTGAAGTGTGCGAGCGTCGGTCGACGCGTCGGCAGTGTTGCCAACTTAGCTACTTTATAGCTAGTTTTAGCAACTTTTTGATGTCAGGCAGCTACTTTTTCTTTTAACTAGTAGCTAAACTTTTTAGCTACTTTTTCTAGCAACTATTGATTATGATATATTTTTACAAAGTTATGGTAGCGGCATCCCCGACAAACAAAATTAGTATTAGCAATAAACGATTCGACTCACTTAAATCGGTAGATAATCAAAATATTGTCTTCTGTTATTTGTTAATTAAGTAGCAGTATTAAAGTTAAGTTGATTAAAGTTTATAGCTGATTTATTAACTTCAGTGTTTTATTTCTTTAGTATTTTATTTACTTCGGAATTCAGCTACTTCTAGTTACTTTTTAGGGAGAAAAAAATACTCAATCTAGCAACTTTCTGTTAAATTCCTAGCTGTTGGCAACACTGCGCGTCGGTGGCTATGTACAGGAATTTAGTGGACGTTCAAGATCGACCCTCGCGCCGCCTTAGGTACGCGTGAGCGGCGCAGGATGTCGCGGGTCGGGCGCGGCGGCGGCCAGTCGCAGCGCGGCGCAGGCCAGCGGCGGCGCGGCACTACTGGCGGCTGCACTACCGGGCGCGGCACTACCGGCGGGCGGCGGCTCGATCTGCGGGCAGGACGCGCGTTAGGGCGACTCGGCCACCACGGCGCACGGCCGGCCCACGTCCTACGGGCAACAGGGGACCTCAGCGGGGGCCGCAGTTCCGCGCGTTTGGATGCCAAGCTTACTGACCGGGCCGTGTGGGTGTGCAACGATTCGATGGCGGGGAAAAGGATGATCTTACTAACGCGTAATTAAGTATGTATGATTTCTTTAAATGGTTTAGACTGAACGACATTGACATGTGAAAACGAAAAAATATCGAACTGAAATTACTTTTACAAAAAAAAAATAGCTACTCACATACATGACAAACGTTTTAAAAGGACACAAAATACCCCGAACCACAAGTCAGTAACTTTAGACAAACAAATACACACAAAACTTGATTGATAAACAGAAAACACAACATGCACCCAAACCATAAAAAAACGAACAATACCAGTGATTAGTGATCAAAGACAGTCGCACAGAGCGTCTCAACAATGGTAAGCACAGCAAGAAGTTATGTAAGTAAAAATGAACATTACAAACTGATAAAAATAATTAACAAATAAGAAAGTATAGGAGCAATGAAACCAGGATGTTAAAGCAGTTAACCCATGTAGCAATCTGGCTGAGAAAAAATAGTTTTACAATAGATAGTAGAACACTTTATTATTACACCACATAACACAAGAAAGGAAAAAGAAAGAAATATACAAAAGATACGACACAATTTACAATGTGTCGAGATTTGCAGTTCAAGGAATTTTAAAAGGATTGATACAGTCCGGTCCTCGTGCAGATACAATGAAGGTTTTCGCGAATGAAAGATCCGCTAGATGGCGGGACGTGGATGTGGGGTCTGACTGCTGCGTGATTGGTGGATTTTGACATATCTGTCAATGTCATGTCAAAAATAACCAATCATGCAGCATTTGGACCTTGCGTCTACGTATTGCCATCTGGCGGATTTTTCATTCGCGAAAACCCTCATTTCGCTCGCGCGTAATAGAATATTGGACACCATTCCCCAATAATTCAAAATCACAACTTTTTTAAAAATACACCTCATTCTAGTCTTAAAAACTTAATTAATTTTAAATTACCTGTAAATTAAGATTTTTGGTTGCATTGTAATTGAAAAAGTAGTTTAATTGAGATGACAAAATAGTGACGTCACTTGCTTGTATTGCCATACAAAATCTATGGGAGTCTCGATTTGACAGTTTTAAAAAGTACGTCAATTGATTGGTGGCGTCAACACGTCTATTGTATTGCTGTCGCGCTCGCACTCACTGTGTTATGGGGAATGGTGTCCAATAGCCTATTACGCGCGAGCGATAAGGACAGGTAGCTCGGGGTCATTGCACGAGATTGTACTATCTTCTCGGCTCGCGGACTCTATAACAGCTTTGTCAGGAGAGGGGCGGAGACTTACCTTGGCGAGCGCGTGCTTGATGGTCTCGTAGGTGAGCCAGCAGATGGCGGCGGCGGGCATCTGGTACAGCACGCGCGCCTGCACGCCCTTGAAGAAGCCCAGCGGGCCCGTCGCGCGCAGCACCGCCGACGCCGCCTCCAGCAGCCCGTCCGCGCGCGCCGCCGCCTCCTGCCACACAGATCACCAACTGAAGGGAGGTGTGAAAAGTGGGCGGGGCCAGTGTCGCAGCAATATGCCCAAAAATAGAACACGTTGCTCGCGATGATGCATCATAAAGCCATGTATTCATTAGGCAAACTTTGTTGATAAAAAACACTGTTTATAAACTGTTCATAAACAATGTTTCATAATGTTTCATCATCTCTGTAAACAGTTTATAAACAGTCCATAAACATAGGTGATGAAACAATGTTTATGATACATGTTGCCGTGCTCCCCGCTATGAGTGGAGAGCAAATGTGGATGCCTAATGAATACATGGCTTAATGTAACAAACAGTTTACATTGCTTGCGTAGTACTAAAGATTATTCGAACGTTGAGTACATTCATTGTACATCACTGCGCATGTAATGGTGCTGTACTATCGGCAACAGTGTTAACTGCCCGTTGCCGGTCATGTCGTCTCAATGTAGTATGCGTACGTATAAAGCCTGCTCCGTGAGCACGTAGAATTTTGTCCAATGACCCCAAGCTACCCATCCTTATCGCTCGCGCGTAATTATATTGCTGACGCGACTGTGCGAGGCGCGCCCGCAGTGAGGTTGCGAGTGCGACAGCAACGGTGGGGTAAAGGATGGGTAGCTTGGGGTCATTGGACAAAATTCTACGTGCTCAAGGATCAGGCTTTAGTCGCACTCAATGCAATGTGTTGTTTTTATTTTGATTACTTTGTGTATGTGAATTTCTAATGCGACACTGGGTTTCGAACTCGGCGCATTAGTTGGCATCTCTCTAGATCTCCATGCGCAGTTCCTACACCAGCCCTACACCCACCTGCGTGTTGAGCACGGTCTTGCAGACGTCGAGCGGCGTGGTGGAGGCGGCTCGTACGTCACTACACCGCTCCACCACGTCACCCGGGCCTGCGGGACACAGGCCGCACCCACCTGCGTGTTGAGCACGGTCTTGCAGACGTCGAGCGGCGTGGTGGAGGCGGCTCGTACGTCACTACACCGCTCCACCACGTCACCCGGGCCTGCGGGACACAGGCCGCACCCACCTGCGTGTTGAGCACGGTCTTGCAGACGTCGAGCGGCGTGGTGGAGGCGGCTCGTACGTCACTACACCGCTCCACCACGTCACCCGGGCCTGCGGGACACAGGCCGCACCCACCTGCGTGTTGAGCACGGTCTTGCAGACGTCGAGCGGCGTGGTGGAGGCGGCTCGTACGTCACTACACCGCTCCACCACGTCACCCGGGCCTGCGGGACACAGGCCGCACCCACCTGCGTGTTGAGCACGGTCTTGCAGACGTCGAGCGGCGTGGTGGAGGCGGCTCGTACGTCACTACACCGCTCCACCACGTCACCCGGGCCTGCGGGACACAGGCCGCACCCACCTGCGTGTTGAGCACGGTCTTGCAGACGTCGAGCGGCGTGGTGGAGGCGGCTCGTACGTCACTACACCGCTCCACCACGTCACCCGGGCCTGCGGGACACAGGCCGCACCCACCTGCGTGTTGAGCACGGTCTTGCAGACGTCGAGCGGCGTGGTGGAGGCGGCTCGTACGTCACTACACCGCTCCACCACGTCACCCGGGCCTGCGGGACACAGGCCGCACCCACCTGCGTGTTGAGCACGGTCTTGCAGACGTCGAGCGGCGTGGTGGAGGCGGCTCGTACGTCACTACACCGCTCCACCACGTCACCCGGGCCTGCGGGACACAGGCCGCACCCACCTGCGTGTTGAGCACGGTCTTGCAGACGTCGAGCGGCGTGGTGGAGGCGGCTCGTACGTCACTACACCGCTCCACCACGTCACCCGGGCCTGCGGGACACAGGCCGCACCCACCTGCGTGTTGAGCACGGTCTTGCAGACGTCGAGCGGCGTGGTGGAGGCGGCGGCGAGCGCGCCCGCGCAGGCGCCGCTGAGCGCGTGGGCCACCGGGTCGTACGCGCGCGCCGGGTTCAGCGCCGCCTGGCACCACTCGTACGTCACGAAGTGCAGCGCCTGCCGGACAACGGTCATGACACCTTCAAAAACTCATAGGGGAGAGTTCGGTATATTGTACCGCCGGGTAAATTGTACCACCCTCATATTACGTAAAGTATTTATTGAATGTCTGTAATTGCAACACTCAGCGATACACAACTAAAATCAATTAATATCGGCCATGTGGTTTTTGCCGTGACAACAAACACGTGTGTTTTATTTTGAAAAGTATTTTTTCATTGTTTTCAAGTAACTTTTGACAATACATGTTTAGTTTGTAATTTTGTTAAATTTAATCACAGGATGTTTCTAATATATTATTTAGAAGCGTAAATTAGTGTGGATTACAGTTATTTGAAACATTTTTCGGTATTTATAAGCTATATTTTTTACCCCCCCCCCCCCCCTCTAAACGTTACGTAACACTCAAGTGTCCATTTTTACCTTAAAGGTTTGCCAACTTGCGAGAACAAATGAAAAATGACGACCAGACTATAATACAATCGAAAGATTCCCCGTAAAACGTAAACAAAAAGGGTTGCCAATTTGGGAGTTTTATGCCCGGTTTCACTATCAATCCCTAATTTAAAAGTCACCCTTATGTAAACTAAATTCCTGTTATTTGTAACCATAGGGGCTACTTAAAAAATAGGGATTGATGGCGAAAACGGGCATGGATTCCCTAAATAAAACAATGTTACGTAACATCTTGTAAGAAAGACCCCCTCCCGCCCCTGTAACGCATCGTAACGTTTTACGAGACCCCCCTCCCCCCCAAATTGCGTTACGTAATACTTGAATGCTCCCTGACTTGTGTTACAAGTAGATCAACGTTTTTTAGTACAGAGATGAGGGGTGCCATGGAGAAGGTTATGTTCGAAGAAATGAGAAAATCGACGAACTAAAGTCGCTGACATAGCCCGATGGATTAGCAAGTTGAAGTAGCAATGGGTAAGGCACATAGTACACAAATCTGACAGACAACGGGGCAGTAAGGAGTGGAGGCCACGTACTTAAAAGCGCAGCGTAGGATGACCAACCTACAAGGTGGACAACCTCATAAAGTTAGCAGGAAAACGCTGGACATCATTGGGGGATGCTTACGTTCAGTCAGTGGAACCTCTGTTTGTCACCTGTCATCCGCTTAGCACTGGAGGGAAGTCGAACCTTATCTTCGAACTCCCTCTATGTTCTTCTGATTAATTTCGTTGTGGATCCAATGACAGTTTAACTTTCCCCCGGGACAAACTTGACCTTCACTGGTTGGGTTTTTATTGGCGGTCAAGCTGTAGATCCTGGTTATACAGGAGTTGCAGCGGTGGGAATAGTCCCGTTCAGCAGTGGACGTGTTGTGGCTGAAATGATGATGATGATGTGGAAGTCACTGACCTGGAAGGGCACGTTCATGGCGACCTGCGTGGCGTAGGAGCGGTAGAAGGCGCGCAGGCCCTCGGCGCGGTACACGTGGCGCGCGCACTCCCACACGCCGCGGTACGGCGAGTTCAGCATCTGCAGCCGCTGCTTCACCACTGGAAACACATAGCCAAACAATGAGGGCTATCGTTTTTAAAATTAACAGTTGGCACCCCTGACGATTGACAGGACCTTACTTTACAGTGGCGCCATCTTGATGAGTGCAAGTGCGACTAGTCCTCCTACCACTTTAGCGCTCACAAGTTGGTGCCACTGTCTTCTCTACTAGCAAGTGACAGGACCTTACTCTACAGTGGCGCCATCTTGATGAGTGCAAATGCGACTAGTCCTCCTACCACTTTAGCGCTCACCAGTTGGTGCCACTGTCTTCTCTACTAGCAAGTGACAGGACCTTACTCTACAGTGGCGCTAACTGGTGAGCGCTAAAACGATATCCCTCATTAATACAACACTAAAAAATTAACTAATGTTTCAAAGATTTCCTCAAGTCGCTATCAAAATAGAAGTGGCAAGTGCGCCCTATTCAAATCTTCGAACACAAATCGTACTGGGAAAACAATCACATTTCAGAATCCTATCCGGAAAGCTTTGAAATTAGTACCCGGTCGAGTTAACAGCGCACCTGGCTGCCGTGACGTCACATCGAAACTGGTAGGACAGGGCGAACGAGGGGAGGTGCGCGGGTGAGTGCGAGGGACAGTCGCTGTCCAGTCAGGTGCGTAGTTAACTTGACCGGGTTGTAGGTGTATCTAGATTCGTTTAGACCGTCATATTTTTCCTCTTTGCTGCACGAGGAAATGTTTATTATTTATTTTACGATCAGATTTTAAGCATAAAAGATTTTATGTTCTATGAATATTATCAATTGGAATAGGGAATTCCCAACAGATCAGAAAGAACGTACACATGTAGCTGTAGCCTATAGCTGGCGTAATTTTATGATGCAATGCACATACTTATTTTATGTGTCCGTTTTGTGCAATGTACCTACATTAAAGTAAATTCTATTAGATCTTTCTATACCCATGAGTTATAGAAATCTACTACTAAGGCAATGGAACTAGAAATGTTTGTTTCTCTTCGTTTCCGATCTGTAGCGAAGGTCTAGCTAGACTAGCAACGGCCTGGAGTCTAAGGTAAATAATAACAAGTAAAATCGGACATTAGGATGTTTGCAATCAGTGACCCGCGTATGGTGTTTACTCTAGTGGCAGACAAGGCGAGTAATAATATACCTTACCCACATAGATAAAGAACCGCGATAAGCGATGGTGTGAACGGCCTCAAACATTAGGGTCTCCCCGACGACAATTATCAGGAGAGTGGTTAAGGTCGCTTCGCAATGACACTATAAGATCAAAGATGTAAAATTTACAATCGCTATGCCACTTCCAATCAGATCAGGTAAGCATTTAAGGTATTAGCGTGTTTCAGTGCTTGAATTTAAAAATGACAATAGATATTCTGTTCTCTGTGGCTTATTCAGGAGAATGACCGTAAGCTCTTCATCAGTCTCTATCTTGAAGTTATCTCCGAATCGAGACCTGAATCATGACGACCTGATGCTGAAGCAAAACCTACTATTCACTCAGCAAAGAGTTGAACGTTTAAGAGCTAAGATCGATACGTCTAGACGACACAATTAAAAGTTATGTATTTATAGCGACCGGATTGACTTACTTTTACCTAACCTCGTTTCACATCATATTAAAAGATATTAAACTATAGATGCGAAATTAGTTAGCTAGTATGTATGACGCGACGCGATTCAGGAAAAATATGACTTCGATGAACAAATGTAACCGTCAAGAATAAGTATAATTATGTAGTAATCGCAACAACAAAGGTTGACATTAAGCTCAATGAAATTTAGACAAGAACTTGTGAAAGAATGCCGAACAATTAAATGAGGTATTATCCTCATAAGAACAAGAGTGTGCGTGCAAGGGGCGCGCGGAGATGGTGCATGCAGTGTTGACTCAGAGCTTCCCGTGTTGACGGCGCCGGAGGATGTGGCGCGGTTCCCACAACAGGCTGCCAGTCTGTTGGCTCAACACGCCGTGCATTATTTATGATAACTATTGTATTGATTTCAAACTTGGAGGACAAGCCGCGCTGTTCCGCCTGAAGGCGGTTAATGATGATATACCCAGTGATATTAGTGACAGAGATTATAAAATTGTGACTAGCGGTCCGCCTCTCCATCGACTGGATTAAAAGATAACATCTGTCCTAAGCTTTCATCAGATTCTGTTCAGTACTTTTTGCATAAATAATTTAAATAATAAATTGTGTAATGTGATGTGATTAAAGGGATTTTTTATATTTTTTATTGCTATCATATCATGAGCTCTACATTTGGCGCGCCGTGTGGTATAACCGTCCCACATACATAGATCGCCGATAGCCCCACAGAGTAGGCAGAGGAAAGCGGGCGCGAATCGGACATCGCTATCATTTCTAACCTATGAGCGTTGCGCCATTCATAGTGCATTGGAAATCTGCCCGCGCGCGGCGTCTCGTTACGACTAATTGCATCACGGCTTCCTAGAAGCGCACACACAAGGAAAACCGACCAGTAAGTAGCGAGTTGTGCTTGTCGCGACTGCTCGCCCCACGCCCCCACTGCCGCCGCGATTAGTTCAAGCAAATCATTTACATAAAAACATCTGCAACGTGGATTCATACACCGTGTTACTTTGCATTCTTGCCATATTCACAGAGATAAAAGTAGGGAACAATACCTATTATTTAAGATAAACAAGAGACTCCCATAAAGAAAGTACACTAAGATTTTAGTAAATTTGGTTTTTCAGTACAAATCGGAATAAACCAATTTTGTCTCGCACGTTCTACAGGTGCAAGTGGAATAAACCTAGTGGGCGTGGCCTAGTTCTTAATAATCTGTTAATTTATGGCTCTGGGTACCAGTCTTTTTATACAGTCATAATAATTATTTTAAAATACTCTTCAGTTGATTTCAGATTTCCCTTTCTACTCTCAGTTTCTACTTTACGGGCTTAGGACCGTTAAAAATACGTAATAATTATTAGGGTTTTAATTAATTTTAACATTGTACCCTATTTTTACAAATTAATAAATTAAGTATGAAATGAAATCACCTTATTCACAATTAATTATTTATTTATAAGTTCCTACTTACAAAGTTTACGTACTGCGAAGCAAGTGTTCAAAGTGTCCTCCGTTCTGATGAAGGCACAGTCTAGCACGGCGAAGCGTAGGTTTTTCGCTTTAGTTTTCGCAACACATAAACGTTTTGTCTCACAGTTTCACTAAAACAATCCTTTCATGTAACACGTTTACACTGTTTATCTCTTCTGCGCATACCAGTCGTTTCAAGTCACGCCAAAAATCCATTGGTGTCAGGTCCGAGGATCGTGGTGGTCAAGCTACTGGACCACTCGTCCAATCCACTGTTCACCAAACGTATTATTCGCGCACTTGACGTCCTTATTGTGGGGGAGCACCATCCTGCTGCTAGTAGAGCATTTGGTGTAACGCTAAGGGTACGTCATCAAGCATTTCGTCTAAGACGTCTTGCAGGCACTCCAGGCACCATTTTGATTAAATTATTCGTTGTTTGAATACACTTCAGACATTTTTGTATAATTTATAACGTGATTTGTGATTGATGGATTTCTCAGTTTTTTACAAGTGTCAAAAAGACATTTTAAAGACAATAGATTGCAATAGATATTTAAAAATACAATAAAAAGTAAAAAAGTCTTCATCGCCATCGCCAACAAGTGATGTGCATGCGTTACGATAATTAGTGATGTGTTTAACAGATTGTCGATAAAATAAAATACTCAAGATTAAAAAAAAATTTTTTCGGGCATTATTTTTTAACGGATTTGTGATCAGTATCAGTAATATAGTCACCTCTGTAAATATGGCAAGAATGCAAAGTAACACCCTGTATAATAAGAAAACGGATAAATTATGTGACCATTGTGTGGCGGTACTTGGTAACATTTGATAGTAACACTTAGTGCTAATAAGATACTTTTGTATAAGCCCCTAGTGTAATTACTATTCCTGGTCAAAAATAAAGAGGAAGGAAAACAGTAGTGATAATAATATGGAGATGAGAGAGGCAACTGTCAATGTTGAGATAGAGCCATAGATTGCGTTGGAGTTAGTACATTATCTGCCACCTTAAGTAGGTATTTACATATTATCATTAGCTACAATATATGCCAATACTGTTTTGTGTTCCAAATGATAATTATCTACGACGATTTACGCTTTCTCAAGGCAACTGTAGTAGTTTTGCTTTTATACGACCAAAGAAAAGTCAGACCTAATGAGAATTAGCTAAATTATATTTTAACCAGTAGGAATCATAGGACTTAATGTTATAAATGGTGAACGGGGTCTTTAATATAGCAAACTACATTGCTACATTGAACTTCCAAGCGCAACACGCAGTTACAAACATGTTGGTACGTATTGTATCAATAAATAATTTTCCGAAGCGTAACTACACTTCAAGGTTCTTGCGATCGGACACATTTCATGGTTTTATTCAGCCTTTCTTCAATATTTATTTTCATAGCGATGCCCATCGATGAAAGTTATTGTAATTTAGATTAAACACGAGCTTAGGGGTGTATTTGGCTGAAACTTTAAACTCGACATTTGAGTGATTTGAGTTTCTAAAATTATCCTTTACGAGACTCGATAAAGAAAATTAATAAAGGATTTCCTCGGCTACAATCAGATTCGTGATGATTAAATAGTTGTGATAATCGTAAGCTTGTTTGTAAACAAAATATTAATGCTGATACCTGTCATCAAACACTTTAAAATATGGAATGGAAACAGTTGTTTTTTCAACGTCCCTACTGAAAATTGGACTATTAATAAGTGTTCAATGAAGCTGTTGGTTCATCATATTTTTAATGATCTAGAAATAAGCTAAAATTGCAGTATTATCGCTAATGACCTCGATTTCTAAACGGTAGTGATGCGGAGCGGACCACATTGTATCTCGCTACCGACAGTTCCAAATCCAAACTATTCTCAGCAGTGGACAACCGACAAGCCTGAGTTGAACGATAATGATGATGTCAAAACAAACGCGCGAGACGATAGAGAAGCTATAAATAGCGACTTAAGTGGCCACAACACTATCCGTATCGTGGTAATTGTAGCAATACTGCACATAGATAATAAAATGTTTTGGCGACAATAACCATAATAATATATTCCAAGTCACGAACAAATCTAAAGAAACACAGATTTCTTAAGCGATTTGACCTTTGACCAGGATAGTGAATAGTGTTATGTATGGTCAAAGGACAACCCACCATTTAGAGTTTTTGCATGAAAAATATTCTGATTTTACACCAATCATCCATTTGTCATATTATACGTTTGACGGAACTAATGACATCAATGTATTTATCTATTTATCTAAATATACAGGGTGTTAGGTAAATGGGTATATGAGCCGACACTAGCCCATGTTAACATATGTATGGTGAATGGTATGGTGAAGTCAGAAAATTGATATCTTCATTTTAATTATTTTATTTTTTCATACAAATCGGATTTTATCAATTTTTTTTGTATGAAAATTAAAAAAATTAAAATGATGATATAAAATTTCTGACTTCACCATACCATTTATATGACCATGTTAACATGGGCTAGTGTCGGCTCATATACCCATTTACCTAACACCCTGTATAAAAGAAGAAACTGACTGACTCACTGACATATCAACGCACAGCCTAAACGGTTAAACGTAGGCACTTGAAATTTGGAAGGGACGTAGCTTAGGTACTAGAGATGAAACGGATAGTTGTTTGGCCGGATACCGGATACCGGATATCCGGCCAGCTGCTAGGCCGGATAGCCGGATATCCGGCGGCCGGATAGTTGGCCCATTGTCTCGTTGCATGTCGTGACGAGTTTAGGTGCTTCGAACGCGATCAGTGGATCTATTAGTAGACTAGACTAGTCACACTTTTCGAAAATCGAATCAGTCCGAATAGAATGTCAGATTTTGCCACTTGCCTAGGGGGCATATCAATTCGGGCGATTTCGGTTGCCATCGTGAGTGTGTGATTGAATAGCGAAAAGGACATCATCCACGATTCATACATTTTTGGTTCAAAATCAAAAGTGCCGGCCAAAAAAAAAGTGCTGTATTCCGACAGAACACGTCTGCCTTAGCATTTGTCACTATGGCACCAAAGTCATGCCAAGCCATTTAAAAATGCCATGTTTTGGCAAGATTCACTCAAGACTTCATTTGTTTTAGTAAATAGTTTAATCGTAAATGTTACAAAGACAGACTTTTAGAACTTGAATACTACGATTCACAGTGATGTTACAGCTTTGGTGCCATAGTAACATGCTAAGGCGGACGTGTTCTATCAGAATACAGCATTTTTATTTTTTGGCCGGCACTTTTGATTTTGGACCAAAATGGATGATGTCCTTAAATTAGTTTACTTGCTGCGTAATCTAACTGAACTGCATCATGACATCAGACCATTAGTGAAAAAAGATCGCCTATTTTATTTGGCAATATTTCGACTTAACAGATATTTACTATTTATGTATTCGTCATTGGAGTGAATAGCCCAGAAAAGGGAATTAGTTTTTTTAAAGGCCTATATATGGCTTTTTGTAACTTTTTGGACTTTAAATAAAAGCCGTCATTATAATAAGCCATTTTATTGATGTTTACCTTAAAGATTAATGTATTTCATTTTATTAATAGGAAATTGTCGTAGTTTTTTAATATCCGGTATCCGGCCGGATAGTGAGTTACTATCCGGTATCCGGCCGGATAGTAAATTTAGGCCGGATATCCGGCCTACCGGATAGTTACCGGATATCCGTTTCATCTCTATTAGGTACCGTAGAGGTGCACTAAGAAAGGAATTCCCGAAATTCCCACGGGAATGGGAATTAGCGGGAAAATCCTTTTGTATGAAAAATCCAAACCGCTTAAGTTAGACGCTTGAAATTTGGCATGCAGGTACCTTAGTAAACTTAAAGCTTAGTTACAACAGGATATTGCAAAATTCCCACGGGATCGGGAGTTAGCGGGAAAAAACATTTGTATGATAAAATCTAAACCGCGTAAGATAGGTGAAGGGGGTAAAACGGGATCCACGCGTACGAAGTCGCGGGCGGCCGCTAGTCTTTCATATTATACTAAACCGTAGTTTTCGACAAACCCAAATAATACATATTCATTCTTATCCGAGTTGCCTCTTGAACAGAGACTACGGCATAGATTATTGAGACGCGCCCGACATTTGCGTATGACCCTCGTGCGTGGCAGATAGCACGCTCCGGATCATCGCGATTCGCAGCAGTTCAGTGTGCAACTAGTCAAAGAGGTCGAAATCCGTGGTCTAAGTCAAAGCGGGGTTAGAGTTCACTTTAATAATTTCGCTGGAGTACGACATTTCCATACTAAATATCAACTTAAACTAGTGTCAACGCTAGTTTAACATTTTTTGTAAGGGGGATTGACGCATATTACCTACAGAAGTCAACTCAAACAACAAACGTAATACGTTAACAAAAGAAATAATGTCCTTACACGTCATAAATATTTAGACAATTTAACACCTTCAATGTGTGACGAACATGTTGAAAGAAACTTTAGTCGTAGAACCGGATTAAGTCATATTGTTTTTATGTTTCCCAAAAAGTTGAGTTGTTTGAATTCTGCTGACGTCAACTGTTTACTATCGTAGTTATCGTACACAGTTATTATTCAAGCGCAGGTCACGGTTCAATATTAATAGAGTAATTTAATAGGTATCCAGAAAGGAATCTATGTGGCGAACACGAGCGAATAGGGGAAGAGAGAGTTTGATAGAGATGTTATGTAAACTTTCACGTTCCATTTCAATTAAAATAGAGGGGCCGAGAAACACGTCATTTTTATAGAGTGCTCACAGTAGAGTCTACTTATAATCACGGCTGTAGCCGCCGAAACGACATGCTGTGAATAGTAATGTAACTGATATAAAAAAAATGTCGCGTTGACGCGCGTATGTTTCTATTTGAAATAAGGGAGAGATCAGCTCAGGGCTCACCTTCAGCGGGGTTGGAGACGGCGTCGTGCACGAGCGAGGCCAGGCAGCCGGACAAACCTGCAACCAACAGTATTCTTCAATCATTAAATTTTCAACATGTTCATTTCTGAATGTCCCAGTTCGCCTAGAGGCCTATTAGTCACATTCGCGTAAGAAACTATTAAAACAGTTTATAGTTCTGCTAGTTTTAAGAACTTCATGCCCATGTTCAGGGATAATTATAATCAAAAGCATACTGATCGGCAGTCAATATCTACATCTAGGGAGTTTCGCCAAGGTATGACAATTAAAATCAAAGGAAATAGGGAAAAATACAATCGTTAAAAATGTAAAGCGAAGAAACATGCAAATTAAAAAAAACAATAATAACTTCACAGAACCACCAAATATGTGATAGTCGAAGATGAATGATAATTTATGAAACGAGCATGTGTAACTGCAATCTCAGTCCACCTATTGTAGTGTACTCAAGAGTCAATTTTATCATGATCTCACTTGTTCGGTCAATTGTAAGCCTCAATTCGGATCACAGTACCGTCAACGTCTGACTGCCGGCTGATTGAGCCATAATAATAAATGTGCCATGTGGTATATACCATCTTGGTCGGAAACATCAATAATTCAGTATAATTTAACATAATTTTGACAATGAGCACATCGTCACGTCATGCATAAATATGCTAAACTTGTAACTTTAGGAAACTCTCTGTCGCACGAGACACTATAATCTATATCATTTTTATAATTGTTAGATAATAAAAACACATCATTTGTAAATGCGCTATAAATATTTTAGGGAACAATAAAAAATTCAAAACTGTATAATATGTATGTCGCAGACGGTCATGAGTACGGACACTAAAGTGAAACGCAAGTGCGCCACCTAGCGGCGAATCGGCGCAACACCGCTTTGGCGCGCTTCGACAGAGTCGTAACGGTCACGGCGGGGCGGATCGAACTCACTTTCGCTCCGGACGCCGACAAGAGAAGACATCGTCACGGAACTGTCCCACGTTTCACCTAGTGCCTATTTTATCGCTCGACGAAGTCTAGATTGTAGTAGTTACTAAGAACTAAGTGCTGATTTTGAACTCTGTTTGACGATTATTAAAAGTGTTCGAACACAAGTCTCATTCTCATTGCACGATACCCTATTTCGCCCACAATATCTGAGGTTCGAATCCCTGACGAGCCGACATCAGAATTGGGATCGAATCGTGCAATTGAGATCACTTTCAACGATATTGGAACCAACACGCTAATGAAAACGCCAACATTTGTGATGTGCTATTTTGGACCAACAAAATGAGAACATACCTACCTATACCTACTACCGGCAAGCTCCTTTGGCATCCAGAAACCGCTCGCTCGCTGGTCGTTCACTGGGCCTCGACCAATGTCGTCTCACTCGGTGGGCTAGTACCGCGCTGAGGGCGGAACAGTGGTGTCAAAGTCGAGCTGAGGGTATGCCCGGAATATAACTGGCCAGAAGGTTGGAAAAATCAGGATAGATGGCGCGGGGCGATGGTCAAGCTCACAGCGTTGGACCGGCGCAGGACGGCGGTCAAGCTCACAGCATTGGACTGGCACGGGGTAGTGGTCAAGCTCACAGCAATGGACGGCGGCGGCGGTCAAGTGGAGAACATTGGACCGGCGCGCAGCGCGGAACGAGGTTGCCCGCGAGTACTTTGGATCACAAGGGTGAGCGATATTGTTTTTCATTTGATTCTTTTGCTGAATACTTGTTGTTGTTGGTTAAATATTGTCGCCAAGATTGAGTGGCAGACGTTTCAATAATGTTACTGTAATGACCGGTATAGGTCAAACACAAGTAGTCAGCACAGAATACATTTTATGTTGTGTAATGATTAACGATCGAATTGGAGGAATGCCCATCAGTCGAGTGCCGATTGATTAGTAATAACGATGATTTGAGTAATGATATTAGTGATGTAGAGGCCACTGAGTGATAGTCACAGGGATGACTACCACTATGTTCGTAATCACAGGGATGATTGCGATGTGTGATGTAATCACAGGGATGATTACATAATTTTGACTTGATGACGGACCATAGACTTTCGACTTATGACGATATCGTGATCACAGGGATGATTGCGATTAGTAATGTAGTCACAGGGATGATTACATTATTTTGAAACCTATAGTCACAGGGATGACTTGGGGTGTAGTGTGCAGTTACAGGGATAATTGCAATAGTAGTCACAGGGATGATTACTTTATTTTGAAACCTATAGTCACAGGGATGACTTGGGTATTGTGCAGTTACAGGGATAATTGCAATAGTAGTCACAGGGATGATTAAACCTAACTTGAAGAAACCTAACCCAACCCACGTTAGGTCCCCAAAAACCCACGTCTGAAATTACTGAAAAATTAGAGGTAGGTTGCTGGGACCATTCTGAAAATGGGTTAGGTTCTGAAAAGAACCTAACTTGAAGAAACCTAACCCAACCCACGTTAGGTCCCCAAAAACCCACGTCTGAAATTACTGAAAAATTAGAGGTAGGTTGCTGGGACCATTCTGAAAATGGGTTAGGTTCTGAAAAGAACCTAACTTGAAGAAACCTAACCCAACCCACGTTAGGTCCCCAAAAACCCACGTCTGAAATTACTGAAAAATTAGAGGTAGGTTGCTGGGACCATTCTGAAAATGGGTTAGGTTCTGAAAAGAACCTAACTTGAAGAAACCTAACCCAACCCACGTTAGGTCCCCAAAAACCCACGTCTGAAATTACTGAAAAATTAGAGGTAGGTTGCTGGGACCATTCTGAAAATGGGTTAGGTTCTGAAAAGAACCTAACTTGAAGAAACCTAACCCAACCCACGTTAGGTCCCCAAAAACCCACGTCTGAAATTACTGAAAAATTAGAGGTAGGTTGCTGGGACCATTCTGAAAATGGGTTAGGTTCTGAAAAGAACCTAACTTGAAGAAACCTAACCCAACCCACGTTAGGTCCCCAAAAACCCACGTCTGAAATTACTGAAAAATTAGAGGTAGGTTGCTGGGACCATTCTGAAAATGGGTTAGGTTCTGAAAAGAACCTAACTTGAAGAAACCTAACCCAACCCACGTTAGGTCCCCAAAAACCCACGTCTGAAATTACTGAAAAATTAGAGGTAGGTTGCTGGGACCATTCTGAAAATGGGTTAGGTTCTGAAAAGAACCTAACTTGAAGAAACCTAACCCAACCCACGTTAGGTCCCCAAAAACCCACGTCTGAAATTACTGAAAAATTAGAGGTAGGTTGCTGGGACCATTCTGAAAATGGGTTAGGTTCTGAAAAGAACCTAACTTGAAGAAACCTAACCCAACCCACGTTAGGTCCCCAAAAACCCACGTCTGAAATTACTGAAAAATTAGAGNTAGTCACAGGGATGACTTGGGTATTGTGCAGTTACAGGGATAATTGCAATAGTAGTCACAGGGATGATTACTTTATTTAGAAACCTATAGTCACAGAGATGACTTGGGTATTGTGCAGTTACAGGGATAATTGCAATTGTAATCACAGGGATGATTACTAGTGATTGTTACAGGGATAACATTCACTCATTTTGAGAGTCACAGGGATGGCTTTCAAAGTTGTGGCACTTACATACCTAATATTCATGATGATTTCTTTAAATTTGACTAAAAGGCACTTGTACTTTTTGGCTTTTCTCTAGTATTTTCGTTAAAGTACGTTTTATAGTACAAAGGTAGTTTTCAGTTGATGAATTTTCATGTTTTGCCATCTGGTAGAAGGTAGTTGTTTGCCAATTAGTATTACGTCCAATCGAGTGATAATTGAATCTTAATCTATAATATAAAAATGAATCGCAAAATGTGTTGGTAAGCGCATAACTCAACAACGCCTGGACCAATTTTACCAATTCTTTTTTTAAAATGTTTGTTGAAGTCCAAGGATGGTTTTTACAGCGAGAAAAGTTTGAATAATTTCCGGGTAAACCCTAAAAAACTCAAAATTTCACCCCTAAGGGTAAAACGGGGTCCACGCGTACGAAGTCGCGGGCGGCCGCTAGTTCAAAATAATTTTTGGTTTGGCTCAGTGGTACAAATGGTATCAAAAAAAGGGGGCCGTTAAGAACATGCAATAAATTACGTCACGTGCTCAATCACGCGTGACCTCAGCTGAGTTTACATTGAATGAAGATGTTATTGTAAATTATTTGGTTCCTAGGTGGTAGGTTCACCACTGATGTGAATATTATCGATACGGACGTACGTGACGGATGTAAATAGACTAAAACTATTAGAATTGCTTAAATAGACTTCCTGAATTCCTTGTCGGTTTACCTTGTAGGTACTCGTTTAGTAGAATACGGGCGGTTAGCTTAAATAAGATTTCATCTTAGAAAAGTAGCAGCCTTGCCACTTTGCACTTGCGTACCTACTATTCATGATCAATTGAGAAGAATGCCATAGGGTCATGTACCAGTCTAAAGTTGAAGTCGAGGTACATGCTGATCACAGTTGTGGTGATGATGATTATTTTTTCTGTAATGGGAACTCGAGTTTGCTCTTGAGCCGTAAATCGTGGTGTGTAGTCGGTGAGTGATGCACACGGTGGCAGAGGACGTGGTCTTGGTAAACCGTAGTGTGTAGTCCGTGGGTGAGGCACACAGTGTTGTGATGGTACTTAATGGTACAGTTTCAGTAATGGTGATTACTGTGGCATATGGAGATACTCGAGTGTCCTACGAATTAATTAGTGACTAATATTATTGAAGTGTTGAAGTTAATGATCATGTTACATAGCCCTGGCTACTTCTATGTTCTTAAATGTTAAGTTTCGATTTTGGAAAATAATTAGAATTGAGTTAGTTTACTTTCATGTTTTAATAGCAGTGATTGTGGTAGCGAATTGGTAGTGTAATTATGAACATTGGATTGCAATGAAATTAGAACGCATGAGGTAGACGTGTCTAATGTAGTACAAAAATGCTAGATAAAGTATTTGGTAGATGAGTGTACTTGATGGAGGTACATTGCTTTTTCATGGATGATAATGAATCTCCTACATTCATATGGAGAAGGACCTTAAACCAGTTGTAGGATTAGTCGATCAAAACTCAATTATTTTAAAGTTACTTTTCTCAGTATCGTAGTATGCAAGTCGCTCAGATTGCTTGCATCTCCCGTGCATTCGTAGTCGTAAGCGTAAATCGGGCCTGATTTCCCGTAGCAGTGCGGCCATGACTGTGAATGGCATGCGTTTGGCGGGGAGGTGTAAACGATCGCTGTGAGTCCACCGGATTGTTTGTATTCGGGTACCGGAGGGAGGTAGCCCATGATTGTGTTGTATTTGGGTACTGGATGAAAGTAGCCCATGATGTGTTGTATTCGGGTACCGGATGGAGGTAGCCCATGTTTGTGATATGGTGTAAGAAACAATCGGATGGAGATGAAGAGTATTGTTTACTGCTTTGCTGACCTTAGTTATTATGATGATGTAGTTTATTGAGTTTTGATGGACCTTAATCTCTATTGTGTTTTGATAATGTATCAAGCGATCGCTAGGTAGATAGTAGCGTACGTGTGGTACGTGTCTCGCTGTATCGCACCTGCCGCGTTTCCGAATAGTTATCCGTTAAAATCTAACTGATCGTTGATTATTTCGTATTAAATTGTAATTGACTGTGGGAATAGACGTCTTACTGCAAATAAAGACTAATATTTCGAGTTTTCCCGCCATGTCTGACCCACTTTATAATGAGTCAACCCATCTACCTTCGTTTCAAATTGTGGAAATCTATGATGGTGACCGTTATGTTTTAAGATCCCTAATTAACAAACGTGTATTGAGTATTCACATGATCGTGTTAGGAAGACCCCTGAAGGCCCAGTACCTATTGAGATTGTGAGGGAAACGAGTTGGATGACTAAGTTCCATCTAGTTAATTACAAGCACAGGTTTCTCAATTGTTTGGTCGGAGATTGTACCAGGATGATGCTGTAGCCGTAGCCCGTAGGAAATCGGTGTCTGCTATGTGGGGTAGTCCGTGGGAATTCGGTAATGTGGTAGTCCTGGGTGGTACAGTCCGATCTTGCCGTGTAGCAAAGGTCATATGGGTCTGAGACTGTATCAGAATATCGTAGCCGTAGCCTATTAGAAACCGGTATCTGCTCTGAGTAGTCCCTGGGAATTCGGTAGTGCTATATTTCTGGGTGGTGCAGTAGGATCTGGCCTTGTGTAACTAAGATCATAAAGTCATTGGTTGATTGACTTAGGCTCCCGAGCTAGGGTAGTAAAACTGGGACCGCTAATTGTGATACCTGGGGCTCATTTGATTTTTAAGTAATTTTTGGTAATGATAATGTACCACATGGTCTCGGCGACTTCAATGTAGCAATTATTAGGAATTGTGATTAGTAGTGATTGAATTCCTAAAAGCTAGGTAGTTTCTAATAATTTGCTATTGTGGTTACTAGTTGGTGACACTAGACTTCTACTTGGATGGCTTTTATTTGGAAGAGTAAATAGTAGTGGAAAGAGTAAATAGTAGTGGAAAGAGTAAATAGTAGTGGAAAGAGTAAATAGTAGTGGAAATAGTAAATAGTAGTGGAAAGAGTAAATAGTAGTGGAAAGAGTAAATAGTAGTAGAAAGAGTATCTAGTAGAACTGAAAGTTTAGTTTCCTTATTTCTGAAAGCAAATAAGTTGCTTGAAATAGGATTGGCCGAGCGGATACTGTGCTGTTCTTTTGGTTTTTTCAGATGTTCACACGAGGACGTGTGACACGCAGGATGGCCGTGTCGCAGACGGTCATGAGTACGGACACTAAAGTGAAACGCAAGTGCGCCACCTAGCGGCGAATCGGCGCAACACCGCTTTGGCGCGCTTCGACAGAGTCGTAACGGTCACGGCGGGACGGATCGAACTCACTTTCGCTCCGGACGCCGACAAGAGAAGACATCGTCACGGAACTGTCCCACGTTTCACCTAGTGCCTATTTTATCGCTCGACGAAGTCTAGATTGTAGTAGTTACTAAGAACTAAGTGCTGATTTTGAACTCTGTTTGACGATTATTAAAAGTGTTCGAACACAAGTCTCATTCTCATTGCACGATACCCTATTTCGCCCACAATATCTGAGGTTCGAATCCCTGACGAGCCGACATGTACAACTTAAAAATATGACTGGATTGTGTTAAACAGTAACACCAATGGTATAAAATGAGTCTGTTTGAAATTCTATAAAGTTTGTCCTTCATGTTTTATGGGTGAGCTGAGATCGACGCGGACTTCGGGGAACTAACTTTACATGAATTTCCAGAGCTTGTTGTTTAAATTAACATACAATCAGATTGGTGCGATGGTTGAAAAACAACTGAAAGCGATTCCAATCAGATAAAATAAAACCTATGTTTCATGAGCATAATTAGCAATACATTAAAGAACATGTTAACAAAAGCTTTACGTAGATTAGGGAAATATTTTAAAATAAAAAAATCATGAAAAGCCTTCAGACATTTCGTCTGTATAGGTATACATATGTATGTAGCGCGCATATGTACTTGTAGCTACATACTCTTATGGTATTTTAAAAACTATTTGTCAGTTTCATATTCTTAGATACAGTTTTACTTAGTACGTTGCGTAACTTTTGATGTCTGTCGGCTTTATAATAATTATATTAATAAACAAGATATGCCAAGCAAGGTTAAGAAATATGTAACGAAGTTGAGAAATTCGAGAAGCAAGGTAGAAACATCTTAGGACTTTGAAAACTGGGGTCATCATCATAACCCTAGTTCGTTTCAGCCGAATTATGTCCACTGTTGCTGGACAAATGCCTCCCCCAAGGATTTCCACAACCACCGGTCCAGCGCTGCCCGCATCCAGGCACTTTCCACGACCTTTACCTGATCGTCGGTCCACTGGGGCCCGCCTCCCGTCTTCCGGCCCATAGTAGCCACTCGAGAACTATTGCGCCCCTAGCGACCATCAGCTCTGCGAGCTCTGATTTTAGCGATTCTGCGGGCTACGTCGGTCACTTTGGTTCTCCTGCGAATCTCTTCATTTCTGATTCGATCACGCGGGGAACCCTATTGTCACTTAACAACTCAAACTGACGAGGACAGCCTAAGTCTATTTGAATCTATGTTTTGGCTGCTTGTATACCTTTCTTGCAAATAAAGTTTTCTATTCTATTCTTAAGTTGTTCTTCGGAGCACGGAATGTCATTTGCATCACGTCGATTCAAGCTGCGCGTCGAGCAAGAGGAAGTGTTACCATGTGTGAGATGTTCGTGGCGATGCCTGGTGAGGTGCGCGAGCGTCTGCTTGCTGTGCTCGTAGGTGGCGAAGAAGCACGCGTGCGCCGGGCCCGCGCCCACCACCACCGCCGACATGCCGCGGATGGGCCTGCAACCAACAGCTCCACGTCACCTAGCCGCTACACATCGATCATCATGACAAATCATTTACTAGGTAGGTAGGTACATAATCAATTATTCCTCACCATAATCTTTACAGTTTATGTTACTATTCTAATTATGGTGGGCTGATGGGCTTATTCCCAAAGGTCCACGACTCTATTGTTCTTCTTTGTCCATTGAATTATTAAAATATACCAAGAAAATGCTAAAAAACGAACTGTCGAACTCGTGGATCCGTTGGGAATCAAAGTATGAACTTAATTTTTTTAAAGAGCTGTGGAGTGGACCATTGAGAATAAGCCGGCTGATGATAGTACCTGTGGGTATCAGCCTACGTTTTACAATTCTAGTTAACTAGGTAGATATTTTGATTTGGCGATAACAAACAAAATATCGACGAACACATTACACGAAGTCACGAATCATGAACATCTACGGAAACAAATGAACATTGTTTAGTATTCTAACTTAGCAAATGTAGCGATTAACAAATAATCAGCAAGTCATTTTACAGGTTAAATCAAACCTGTGAGTTAGCGATGAGACATTTTTGCTTTAGTTTTTGTTGACATCAAAGTAAATCATGTTGTTTTTGCGTGTGTGTTCGCGTTGTGTATGTGAAGGTCGTTAGAAATTAAGGTGCGGATTGTTTGCTGTAGATAGCGATAAGGGGGCGTCCATAAATTACGTGAGACTTTTAGGGGGGGGGAGGGGGTCAACAAAAACCTCACTAAATCTCACGTGGGGGAGAGGGGGAGTCTCAGGAAATATCACGTAATTTTTTCCGCAAGAAATAGAGAAATAGAATTTGCCAGAAAACTGGGTTTAAATCATAAGAAAAAAAATTGGGCAAGTGCGTGGTGTGCCACGCGCAGTGTAGGATTCCGTAGTTGTCCGTCGTTAACAAAATATATTTCAGAAGCAAGCAATTACTTCATCTAAAGTCGCTTTTAATATTTTCTTCTAAGAATTTTTTATTAGATATGAAATTTTATAATACATGAGTTAAATGACTATTAGGTACTCTCAAACTAACTGACCTACCCTAACCATTATAGTTTTCTTGAAAGTTCATAAAAAGCAGTATTCATATGAATTTTTCCAGATTTTTCAAGCCAACAGTCTAGTTTTTAGAGGGAGGGGACGCCCTGCTCGAACAAAAATTGGCACTTTAAACTTTAACGTATCCCTAAATCGAAAAATAGCCTTTGAAACCCCCAAGTCATCCAACGATATCCTACACGATGGTGTAGAAGACGAAAAAAAATTCATGGTTTATATGTAGGGGAGCTACCCTAAAAAAAAGTTTTTTCAAAATATGATAACGACATTTAATTCTATACCGTCTAAACAAATAAAACTAAAAATGCTTCCGTCTGCATGTGTGAATATTAAAATGCAGAATAAATGACGAAATTAAGAAAATTGTAAAACAAACTTTCTCAGTTAAATTACTCCAAAACTATTAAATTTCGGATTTTTTAAAATATCACGTGAGATTAGGGGGTGGGGGAGGGGGTTAGGCAAAATCTCACCAAATCTCACCAAGGGGGGCGGGGGGGTTGAAAAATAGCCAAAATTGTCTCACGTAATTTATGGACGCCCCCTAAGGCACATAAAAGACTCCCAGGAGCTAACGTTATTTGTGCATGTGCACGTCGCCGAGGAGAGGTAGAGGAGAGGCTGTGCAAATTGGATCACTTCTACAAACAGTAGGCAGTCACGTTGAGATAACTTTAATGTTTTAAATGTATTTGTTCCAATTTTTTTTTAAATTTATTTAACAACTTAAAGACAGGCTTAATTAATCGAGGCTTTATTGCATCGTGTAGTACAAGTCTTATTTTAATTACCAAGTTAATTAGATAGATTTTTAAAAAGTCAAAACATACTACGTGTGTATTTAAATTTTTAGCGCAATTAACCAGTATGACGGTTGACCTTTTTACACTAAACCAAATCGATGGAGTTTTACATCTTTCGAATGGATCTTCAACGACTCTTTAACTCAACCATGGCCTTGGAAACTTCAGGAACTTAATTGTGATAATATCTTTTCGTAATAATGATTGATTGGAGCTAAGGAAATTACACTCGATGTTGGGTTCCCGGCGAGCAGTAGTTATTCCGGTACCAGCTGTCCTTGGCCCCCAAGGTTGCTGACTCAGCTATTCCTATACCTACGCTCACTCCACCAGTAGGTATTGGACAATTTCATTGACAAAATCAATAAACTTTTATTTAATATCAATGACTATCAACCATTCGAATATAAATGCCTATTACCTACTTACTTCAAAAATTAATTTATGAACCACCATATTCCATAAAAGTCTGCAAAAACGTATTTCTAATAATACAAAGTAATAGAGGAACCTGTCAATAAAAAGAAACCGCACTAATTGGGACAGGGAGGAAACCCGCCTTCGTTATTGATTGATATAGAAATAAGAATAGGAAACCACGCTATTTGTAGGCATCTGCGCTAATGAATGTGATTTAGAAACTGACTCCCTCAGTAGCTCTCACAGGGCCCGGCCGCCGACCAGACTGGCGGGTCCACTGCAAACTGTGACAGGTTCACCTTGGTAGAAGTGCTTAGTTAGAACGCTCAGTTAATGATGGTATATTAAACTTCTTCTCAATAAAAGCTTCTTTTTTGCATTACGTTTGAAATCAAATGAAATCGAAACATTGTTAAGAAAGATGTAGAATACCATTTCAATAAAATAAATTAAGTAATTACGCAAATAGGCAACACTTCAATATGAAAAATTGTTGCGCAATGATTTTTTGGTAAAAAAGAAGTACATAGTTCAAGCAGGCCTGGCTCACTCCGCGCGGTACATCCGATAATTACCTACAGCGGAGCGCCCCGCCGGCGGGTATTATATCAGTCGAGTGTCACGCGCACGCCCGTCGGGACTTGATGTTTTGCCTTTAATAAATAATTTCTTTTGAATACAATTTATGATGTTTTAAGAATTTTATCGTTAAAATATTAACTATTACCTTTCCGTGTAGGTAAATGAAACGGAAGAGTAACATCGATACACCAAATTACGACAAGCTAGTTCTTTTACGTTAATGCATAGGTACCCCAACAATATTCAGTAAAAAATAAATTGTTGCCAAAGTACAGCGAGTAACATTAGATTAAGTTTGTGCAAAGCCAAATACAAATATGATTTTCGAGTGATGCCTCTCGTTCTATGATGTAGCCGTTTCGTGTTTGCGTAGTAAGTAGGTAGGTATGATGTCATTCTTTCTTCTGTGATAGTAGGTATGTTTAATTTATTTGTCTTATGTTAAAATAGGTATGAATGAAGACATTGTATTAAAATAAGTACTTTTTTATCCTAAGTAGGTATATTTAAAATGTTATTTTTACAAAGGTAAAATAACACTAATACTTACCTACATACGTACCTCATTACAAATACCTAAGTAGATTAATTCTATTTTTTCACTAGACAGCATAGCAACCCTAGCAGCGTAAGAAGAGTTCAGAGGCACGCGATAGAAAGAGACAAAACTTGTAGGTGAATAAAATTGTAGGTACGTAGTGCTGTGCGAGCTGAATTCCACTGTATCGCGTCGTAGCAAGACTCGCATTTATTTAAATCGTCTTGCGGAGTAATCCTTCTGTACCTGTACTATTACTTATTCTGTGGTATTTTTCATTTGAAGATTGAAGATAGATATTTTTTCTTTTTCACACAATAATAGTACTATGTTTCTTCTTAAGTATAAAGTAGTTTATGTTGCCAAATGACTTTTAGATTATGAGATGTGACCTGTTTTCTTGCAGTAATTTTCTCGAATTTTGACTATCTTAGACATGATAAAAATGCATTTTAATGAATTAAACATCAAAATTTTCTCAATACACTTTCTTCTTCAGGGTATGCTTATTCTAATGAATACATTCTATCTTCTTACTTAGAAATAAATTTGTTGTAATATTAGTTCAAAGTTGTGCCTTCGCGAGTTACCTGGAAATCGGGCTTTCGAAATTCGCTGTTTTCGTAGGCAAAAATCCAATTTGAACGAGATTTTGTCAATAGACATTCCGTAAAAACGTATGATAATTACGATGATATAAGTCAAAAGAAGCTATAACAATAAATTATATGACTAAAATCATTTCGAAATCTGCCAAATTCTCGATTTCTGCATGAAAAATGTGACAACGCTCTTAAACGAAAAGCCACTAGTCTCAGCTTGCAAACCACAAGCCTTAGCTAGTCTTACTTATATAAAATCCTCAACCTAACACCTCTACAATATAATGCTACCTACGTGTGGGACACAAAAGCCGTGACGTCAGCTAGCCCTTGACCTTGCCCGAGTGGCGGCGCATTGTCAGCGAGGCAGCTAGTTTAGCGTCGAGTGGGAGGGATTCTTTATGAATTGGGGCCTATTTTTAAGAACGTGATTTTGTGGAACGTAAAATGTTTTACTAAACATCCATAGTATTGGTAAAGTAGGTAACTCTATCCACAGAAAAATAATGCTTTATATCTCAACTAGCGGCCGCCTGCGACTTCGGACGCGTGGATCCCGTTTTAGCCCCTTAGGGGCGGAGTTTCGTAGAAACCTTTCTTAGTGGTCTATGTCTATGTCAGTCAGTCACCTTTGAGTTATTCAATTTAAAAAGTTAGTTTTCACCATTGATGTAGTAGTACATTATAACTCAATGGTTTTCACATTATATTTTTAACTAGCGGCCGCCCGCGACTTCGTACGCGTGGATCTCCTTTTACCTCCCCTTCATCTATCTTACGCGGTTCAGATTTTTTCATACAAATGTTTTTTCCCGCTAACTCCCGTTCCCTTGGGAATTTTGCAATATCCTGTTGTAACTAAGCTTTAAGTTTACTAAGGTACCTGCATGCCAAAAGACAATGCCGGAAATTGGCGTCTTTTTTTTCTCGCGCGGCCATCGACTAAACCTTGTTTTTTGATTACAAAATAGTGTAATAAACCAAACTTACTA